ATCAAGTTCAAACTCACATAACCCAGCATTCCCATGCGTCCAACAGATCGCAACACCCGTTTTTTCTCTAGCTCAGTGCAGAAAAGTATGCTGGAGACTACCTTCAAACATCTGCTTTTTGTGCCCTTGTTTTTAAAAGGTGGAGCCAGCTGAGACAGGAAATTGGAACACGCAGAATGATCTTTTCAACAAGCTCAAAGCAGCGGTGCCCAGTCACGCCGTTACGGAGATACGATTTGTATGCTTTGTGTTAGCTAGCCACAGCTCATTGTCGTAGTGCACGCTTCCACATGCACCTACTGTGTTCTACCATTGGCTACTTCGAGTGTGATAGCACAGACTAATAAAGCGCTGCAGTAAGCACTGCAGCAAAGCAACGATGTTGACGTGCGAATGCAGTGACTTGGTGAAGCAAGACAGAGGCCAGCGGACGTGGTATGCTTGTGCGCATTCGTATAGGTTACCATAACACCCCGCCATTTCTCTCCTTAGTTGACAATTCTCTGAAGAAGCGCACATCAAGTACCAGCGTTTATTACAAACTTGATGCCATGTTTGTGCGCGATTCATGATACGTTGTGTCCAAGTACAGGTTACCAACTTCAGCTGCAACGATTAAATTATGATCACAGGCATTAGTCGTCCAATGAAGATGTGTCACTAGGCGCCAATGTGGGCGTATGCATGTGAAAACGGTGCTATAGCTGCCAAAACACCATTAAACATCGTACAACTTATGATCACTACAATAAGCCCTACTTCTGTGAAAACCATTCATTTTGGTTGTTTTGCCGATTCCAATGACAGATCAGCTATGTTTTTTTCTTTAGTAATTGAGATAAAATTTGCAGAGTTTAAGCATATTTGTCCACAGATTTAAAATACACACTTATTTTTGTAGTATCGAATGTAGTTTTCAAAATATGAAACATTTCACGAGCTTCCCAGGAGCCTATAGGCTTAGGCTTCTGCGAATAGTGAATTTTAAATTCTAAGCAAATTCGAAGTAAATAGCGATTTTAGATGAGTGATTTCGAATTGAATTCGAAAAGTATATATGAAATATAAAGAAAAATTGGTATATTTATCAATACTTAACTAATTTACAAAATATTTTTAAAAAAGAAATTAGGTCAATAAAATTTCTCTTTTTTTCATTCAAAGAAAGGTAAAACAACTTTGAGTAGTAACAGGATTTCACCTTCGGTAGAATGCGAGCGATAACCTGTAAAATACCTAGCATTTTAAAATTGATTACATTTAGACACATAAGACGGCATAACAATCTTTTAAGCTTAAAAAATGATGAACAGATTAGAGGGTAATATGTTCATTTAAAGCGGTCCTGCAACCCTTTTTCAGGTAGCTATGGAATGAACTCAATAAAGAAGCTTATTGCCTCACGAATTCACAGCCGCAAAAATTTTTAGAATCCGTCCAGTACGAGTGGAGTTGCAAAGATTTGTCTCGCGCTGCAATTTCGTTCTCTCTCCTCGTCCCAACGAAAGCGTTAGAAGCTAAACAGGGAGGGATGGCATAGAAATGCCTTGATCACTTTTTCTATTTCTTTTCCTTTGTGAATACGTGACTTTACAATGCAATTGCGCGCTCACTCGTAAGTAAGTCGCGGCCTCCCGCAGCGGACCCAGTAACGAACGAGTGTACCATGCTCAAACCAGCCAATTGATGAGTCATTTTTGAGCTTGTCCATCATTTGCCGAGAGAAGGGGGCAATTTTTAGCTGACTTTGAAAATTTATTGTGAATTGCAGGCCGTGTGCTGCGCTATAGCGTTTGGCTCGCGTGTTCTCGATAGCCTCGACCACTGATCGGCGGTGTTTTCTGATAAGGCCTAAAAAGTGCTGCAGAACCTCTTTAAATATAAAGTAGGGCTACAGTCAAAGCAGATTTCCCCTGGATAGATGCTTTCAAGGCTTTGCACTCCTACACTGCCGCGAAACCACCTTTACAGGAGGTTACATGCAGATTAATATGCATTTATTAGTTCATTGCGAATACTTCAAAATTTTCGATAGCTTCAATCCGAATCAAAGCGAACTCGAATACTCTTCTTTCGAGTATTCAAAACATTTGAATATTCACCCACACCTAGAGACACAGTTTGGTAAGTAACTAAGCCCATCAGAATAACCTGGAATCAGTACCACGGCCGCTCGATCTCACCCTTTGGTGCGGCCCGCCGAATGTTCCTCTTCACCTGTGAGAGCGCTTGTTTCCTTTACAGCCACAGCACCGGCTGTGACGCAAGCTATCGGCGACACAAGTGCTTCTCCCTAAGCTCCTTTCAGCTGTAGTGAGCTCTCTGCACCGGTGGTATCACGTGTTTCAGATCAGTGCGTTCTCTTGGTCACGTGAACAGGTCGCATTAGTTTCGCTGGATTATAGGCCTATGAATAAGTGACACACATTATCGCAAGCAATACAACGAACACAGAAAACAAGATTACTCCGGCCGCACGGCCAGTAAGGCCTGTGTATTATGCAATGTAACTGCACGTGAAAGAACCCAAATGATTGAAAATACGCTAGCCATGCATCCACCTCAGCCTGGCCTATACTTATATTGTGTTTTTGGCACGTAAAACCCAAGATATTATAATTAACAACGGTCCACCTCGGTGGAACAGTGGTTATTGTGCTTGACTGCTGACCCCATGGTCGCGTGTTCGATCCCGGCCGCGGCGGGCGCATTTCGATGGTGGCAAAAAAGCTTGAGGCCTGTGTGCTGGGCGATGTCAGTGCTTATCAAAAAACACCAGATGGTCTAAATTTCCGGAACCCTCTACTACGGTTTCCCTCATAATCTCATTGTTGTTTTGGGATGTAAAACCACATATATGATTAAGAATAAAGAGTTGTATCTAGATCGTTCATTCCCTTGTATTTACATTTTTACGGGCTAATTCAAGCCCAGTGAAATCCAAATCTACCCCTGAATATGGACGATAGTGGGCTATATATGTAGATTCTGAGGTATTTTGGAGGCATGGGCACGCTGGCGATAAAATTATTGGATGAAGCCTAACGACATCGGCAGTAGAGAAAACAACGTCTTTCTCGGTTTCTCTAAAAAAAAAATGCATGCATATATGTGCGCCGTTAGACGGATGTTGTGCATAAAGTAAAGCAATATTTGATATGCTTGCGGCAGACGCGTAGCCGAAAAATTTTTTGGGAGGGAGGCTTGATTTCGGGGAGGGCATCCCCTTTAAATGGTCCTTTTTTGCTCTGTAGGCCACGGCAAAAAAAATGTTGGGGGGGGGGGGGGGCACGGTCTCGGTGTGCCACCCCCTGGCTAGGGTAATATGTTAAAGTTAATCATGCACAACTAATTCCCCGACAGTTAATTTTTGAAGGTAGATGGTTCTCCACACACGCGCTCCATTAGATGCACGTGGCAAGTTTAGATGTTTGATTGAAGCAGTTAAAGAAGCACAAGATCCTCGTCTTGATCTTGCTCGTACGACAACTCATCACTGCATTATTAATGTTATTGAAACTTTTAAAAACGTGGTGGCTCTAAATTCAGTCTCAACTAAATATTTGTGTCGCGCATTCGAGGGCATCCTACCTCTTCTTCTTCTTTGCTCTTTCAGTCCGCGTTACAATATATATTGTGGGCATTTGTTACTTACATCGTCCTCATCCCTGCATGATCACAATCACAATCATCCGCTTGTCTCTTTGTCCTCATTGCCAATCTGGGTCACTATCATCGCCATCGTCTGTGTATTGGCTCTGCCCGTTCATTTTGCGAGGTCTTTCCTCAAATAAACGCTGACGCAGCCATGACTACCAAGACTCCTTACGTGATGGAGGTGGATTTTCGGTCCTCTGACTTCCCGCAGCCCGCTCTACCCCCTGGAGCTTCGTTCAGGCCACCGCTTGCGCCTACAGTCAGGCAGCACTCAGACTTCATAATATATATAGTAAGAATCAGACAGTTATAAGTAATCATTCTTTATAAATTGTCACACATAGAAAATTTACAATTTATCACTCAAACGTTCCAAGATGTGACAAACTGACGGCTTCGTGAAAAAGTGGTTTCCAAAAATGTCTGAGTATCTTTTCTACCCTGCTGCTACGAACTACAGCCTGTTGGCCAGGAATATACCCAGTAGCTTGTTCATAACAGCAGTATGGAAGAACGAAATGGTATCGTATGCTGACCGAACGACGGCAGGATACGACTATCACAAAATAGGGAGGATGAGTGAGATTACCCCTTCGCAAGCGCGGTGCAAGCAAGTGCAAGTGCGATTACTTCACCGATGGGCAGCACCCTCACCCCCTGTCGTGGTCGGTCAGTCAACTTTTCCTTTCACGCCCACTTTTTTGTTCGGGAAACGACTCGGCAGGTCACACCAAAGGGAGAGATCGAACGGCCGTGTCAGTACAGTGTTCGAAAAACAAGAACAAATGTTCTACACTCATTTGAATAAAAGTTATGATATGTTGAATATTTGTCTATGAGCCAACGTCATGCTTAAATTTCAGTCACAAATTCAATGAACCACAACTTTTGTTCACATAGGCTTAGAGCGTGTGCTATTGTTTTGTTGAGTTCTGTATTCGTTCCAGGTCATTATAATATGCTCAATTACTTTGTGACCGGCTCCATTTCGGCAAACTCTCAAAACAGCACATATTTCACTGAGAAAAAAATTGTAAATTTAAAATGAGCACACAAATACACTCAAACCTCCATGTAACGAACCCCGATATAACAAAATATCGGTTATAACGAAGTAAATGAAGAATAGTCTAGCAATAGACACAGTGTTAGGAATGTACCTTTATAACATATTTTTGGATGTAAAGAACTTATCTTCGTGTAATATGCAACTTTGCTATAATGAGGTTTGAGTGTATGCAAAAATTGAGCGAGTTTTGTTGCAATCCATACAGAACTTTTAGGAATGTTTTCAGGCTTGCTCAGGCCCTTCACAAATTACAACAAGAAGAAAAGGAACTTACTCAGAGTATTCTCCGCAGATCCAAGCGGCCGCATAAAGCACTTCACAAATGCTGTTTCGCTGGCCACTGCCCATCAGCAGATGCGTGTTGTCCAGCAGCACAGCCTGAAACCACCACCGGAGGAGCCTGTTACTTCGCAATATACACCTTCCAAATCAATCAATCAATCAACCAATCAATATTTTATTTTCAGCCTCAAAGACACTCAATGAAGCATGGTGGGCAAGTCGTTGATAAGGCTTGACAGGGTCCGCATCCCCGACTTGGCAAATATAAGATAAAAAGCACAAAACAGGAAAATATTCACCAGGCAGTTCTCACTGGAACATCATAACTAAGCTAACTAATGCAATAAAAAGGGTAATGACATAGGTCCGTAAACGTTTCTGAATGAAAAAAAACAATAAATGCGCCTAATAAAAAAGAAAAAGGCACTGGTACAACAAATAAAAGTGCACACAATAAAACAAAGAGAAAAGGAAACAACAACCAAGATTGTTCGCGCAGCCGAGCAAAGTACATGCAATGAAAGGTCCCACAGCTAGCTTCACACAGTAGTTTAATCTCTGCAGTTTTGACATTCTTGCATGGTCTGTGACAGACTGTGGTTCAAATTTACTTCGTCTACGCCATGAAAAGACAGCATCAGCCAAGATAGACGTCCCGAAGATCAACCAACCTCGCTGTTTCTAACACCGCTAGTGCAAAATTCTTCTTTGACAATGCTACGTTTTCCCCGAGTGTGACCCAGCAACACTCCATAGTTATTCGATCATACAAGTTGCGAAACTCCCCAGAGGCTCTATGTGTCAAAACCCCGACATGAAAATGGCCCCGGTGTCGAGAGTGTGCAGACTGTTGCGGCATCTGTTGATCAGCACATCAGCTATTAATTGCATTATTTTGTTTTGCGTCGCTCCAAGATGGCGCAACAGTCCACTAACTCCCGCAAAATAGGGCCAATTGCGTGTCCAGGTTTTGGAATGCAGTTTCGCAACTGGTATGATTGAATAACTCTGGCCACACTCAATTTGGCTCCCAAATGCTGTCCTGAGAGCTTTGCTCTAAGGCTGGAGCGTAATGCTTGTCAGGACCCACCATTTGAGAGACGCTAAAGGCCCGGACCGCTTGCACTCGAACAGCCACGTCCAGCATCTGGGATGCGATGGTGAGGCCATGCTTGGTCCCTTCAATCCGGGTCAGCTCCACCAGCACACTGACATACCTGCACCCAAGCAGTGTCTCTCATGTTCCCCCACTTCAATCTTGCTTTGTTATTTGTGCTTAGTTGCAAGGTGTGTTCACAAATTACATCCTAAGAACAACCATCACCATCAGCCTATGTAGCAAACTTTTGCAAACACAATGTGATCTCGAGCTGTAGACATAAGGGTGTATTTTCTAAGCATTCTGTCACAGAACGGAGGAGGGATGGAACGAGGGGATGAGAGGGCACAGACAGCCAATAGGCAAGCTGAAAGAATCCAGAAATGTTTGGACACATGAAGAAATACAGAATTATTCTAACTGAACCTCAATACTGGTAGGCATTGTTTTTCAGCAAAGAGGCTTAAAAATGAAATGACTAATTTGTAGTGATCTCTTGATTTGATGGTAGGTGGTGTCACAATTTGACAAGTCATTCGGTGGTGACTCACGTGAACTATCGGCACGAGATTCGGGTAAGCCAGGCACAAACAGAATAATTCGATTCTTCAGGACAAAGTGCAAACGTTTCGATCCAATTCAAGTTGTCCGTAAACCATTTTGCATTCATTCTATTGACAGAACAGGCCCTTTGCCCATCCTGTGCTCGTTCAGCATCCATTCTTACAGCTGGAGTGTCAAACAAGCCTCAACCAATCCCGTGCCGATCCTGACCAATCCCCTGCGTATATTTCCTTTCGTCCCCTCATTCTGTTCCACCTCTGTTCTGTGACAGAACACTTACCAAATACCCATCAGGAATGCGAATCCCTTCAACAGCAGCCATTACAATCCCATACTAGGCCATAGCATGTTCAGCGGGATTCACAGGAGGATCCCGCTGAACAAAGAACTGTTTCCATTCTTCAAAGTGTCCCCTGAGCCAGCCATTCAAAGTCGAACAAGACTTCTTTCTGCCAGTCTACTCAGCATTGCTATCCTGTCCAACCCTACAGATACGACCGAGGAGGTAGGGAATGTGATAACATGGGTAACTAACTGCATGTTGGTCACATGCCCACATACTTGTCTTCACTTTGCCATCTGATGTGCAGTACATCTTATTCATCAATCAATGATCTTTCCACCCAAGCTAATACATCCTGTGATCACCAAAAAGGCATGCGATGCTATCCCTCTTGCGAGTAAGCACAAGCAGCTTAGCACACTCATAATGTGGCATGACTATAATGTAACAAAACTGGTGGGGTGTTGCGTGCAAAACACTGATATTATTACGAGGTATGCCATATTAGAGTGCTCTAGAAAATTCAATCGCCTGGTGTTTTCTTGCACCTATATCTGTGGACAAAGGCCTCTGGCATTTTCACAATCACAGAAAATGCAACCGCTGCAGCCACGATAAACGAATTGTATGGTGAACCACAGCGCAACACCGACACAGAGATAATTAGGAAAAAAAAAAAAACACGTTGCACAGTTATTAAGGACACACAAAGCTTAACAAGCATTGTATGTCTTTCTTCTTATTGTTTTCGTCTTAGTGTGGTGCCTTCTTTCACCATGCTGTATCACCAACTCTCCCCCATTTTCATGTTACAAAGAACTGTAGTTCTTGTAAGTAAGCATGTCTAAACTTTGTGCATTGTGAAAAGCGGAAATTCATACAAAGCAAAATGGATGTCCTAGTTCCTAAACAGGATCCTTGTTCAAAATTAAGATGGATGAAAAGGAAGGCCAATTATGTACAATTCAAAAGTGGGACGTAAGCATATATAAATTTTTCTACACTAACTCCGCGTGAGAATTTAAAATCTGCCATAAAAAATACAACTGACTTGGCTGGATTGCGTTTCGTACAAACCACAAATGATTAAGTGATGCTTCTGAAAGTTGATCCCGAGGCTAGAACACGCGGCTGCTGCTATGTTTGCGAGGCCTAGCAATAAAATCACAAGTTCTTGTAAATCTTTCAGCGCAAGCTGCATGCCTGCAACCTTGGATGTGATGAAGCCACCATCATGTCACTACAACAGTTAGCTTTTTTTATTGTCATCATTCACTATGAAGTAGAATGGCAGGTGTTTAACAAAAAAAAAAAAGCCGTTTTTGTGAGAGAAAGATGTGATGGTATACATACCCCACGTACTATGGTTGCATAAAAAGTTTCTGTAAATCAGTATTAGATTACCAAGACAAAGTGTCATGGTTAATTTAATGCCCTCAACTCAAGCCTTTCACAACCAAAGGAAAAAAAAATGCCAAAGTCACCAAAAACTTTTTTCAGCTCAATTGTTAGTCCTTTCCCTAAATAAAATGATACTATTCTTTCAATAATTTATTCAATCCTATATTTTTATTCCTTTAGTTCATTAGTAAGGGAAAACTTAAAGATGGCTTCACTGCGGGGTTATATAACGTAATATAGTAAAACCCCTTCATAAAAGGCTTGCTCAGGGCAGCATTTCTTGTCTACTATATGAGATGTCTATGATACAAGGAGAGGCACGAGGCACATGCCAAACGCGGAAGCGCAGCGACGATGCACGACGAGGAAAAAGTCACTCGAGAGAACGCACACCAGCCACATCAACGCGGGAGATTGGTCAGAGAAAGGCTCATGGCACGCGACCCGAGCCAAGGTGAAAAATTTCAGAGGAGAAGCTGGCACTGTGCGTTGGGGCTCCAAGCTGCGAAGGCGTGGGAAACCAGTGTTACTACAGCGACGAAAGCAGCAAAGTCGCCTGGTTCTGAAGGATTTCGGCATGAGAAGCACGGGAAGTGGCTTTCGACCTCACGGGTCCCGAGCAAGGCTGCCCGGACTTGCCGCACCCTTACCCAGCAGGACTAGCAGCCATCCCACTCTGCGCCGGGATGGTAGCAGCCCACACAAGTCAGCAGAATGGACATGTCAGCAGGGGAGTGCATGAAAAGCTAAGCCTAGCCCAGCAAAGACCAACGAAGACCGGAACACCGGCGATATGGACGAGTGGTTCGTTTGGCGGGATCAACCCACGGCGACCGTAAGAAGTGGAGCAGCCTATCAATGACGAAGGACTCGGCTAAACGTCGACACAGCAAAGGGTAACAAGTCGCAATGTGAAGAACTGTAAATACATTCCATTGTTGATACCATATTATACCCCTGTCACACCGGAGGTGTTAATGTCATTTGGTTTGAAGGTCATTCGATGCAACGAATGTCATTCGATATGAGGTGGCCCTTCACTAGAAAAAGTAATGTCATTCGTTCGTGATACCAATCTCAATAATTTGGAGAAAAAAGCCAGAAAATTGAGTAAGGTAAATGTAGAGTGATAGAAAGCGTAAGCTACTTATTTTAAAAGACATGTCGAGAGTCTCTTTGCTCATCAGCGTCTGCCATACCCAATCTGCGTAACACATGAACACTGCTTAATATGACGTCAGCTGGAGAGTTGAAGTTATCGCCGATTGCGTATGGCAAAGATGCTGATGGGTGTCCCAATTGCATGCATTCGCAAGTACCGAAGAGTTCCGCGTTCCTCGATAGGCAGAGCATTGCTTATGACGACGTCGCCTAGATAGTGCGTGTGGACGCCGGTGGTTTCGAATTGTCGTTTTAGAGCGAGCATTTCACGACCCCTTTGAAAAAACTCAAAATTATTAGCATGTTTGCATTATTTCTTCTCAAATTGAGAATGCTAAGCACCAGTTTCCAAGTAGTCAACGGGGTTGAGAGTATACACTCTGTGCTAGTGCGATGGCGAATGTGTTTTTCAAACTCATTCGGTTTTAATGACATTAGATATCGCTGTGTAGCAGTTCAATTCATTCAGTTCAAATGACATTAAAACATCCAGTGTGGCAGGAATATTAGTTTAGGGCTAGCGACTAGGGCTAGCAACAGATTTAGACTGAGCTACTGTCAGTTTGGGTTTGCTCACGTACGTTGGTTGCTATTGAGTTATTGATTGTTATTGAGTTACTGAGTGTTATTGAGCTGTTGAGTGTTTTAATGTGAATTCTGTGTATTGTTCTTGTTTGTTTTGGGTGATAAAGTGTGCGTCTTGCCCCACCCATCTCCCGTTTCTCTCAAAACTATCCTTCGCAAGCGTTCCAAAGATGAATTAATGTGACAGTAATTGGCGAGCCTCTGCCAGGATTCTTCCCTTGTGCGGCGCAGTCACGTTATCGTCAGGGGTTGCAGGATGGATTACAAGAAGTTGACGGCCGTGGCCAAAGACTTAGGGATGACCAAGGAGGAGACACTTACGAGCTTCCAGAATCTGCAGAAAGAACACGAACGAGAGCTAGCGCATGAAGAAAAGGAACACGAGGCAGAGCGCAAAGAACCACATACCAGAGGGAACAAGAGAGAGCATGCGAAGAGCATGAAAAGATATTCAAACAGCACGAGCGCAGACAGCATGAGCGCGAGATGGAAATACTCCAGCTCCAGCTTGTTCACGCAATGACGCCAGTGCTGCGAGTACGCCCACATCGGCGTTGGGCAGCTCGCCTACTCCCAGGCCTAAACAGACTTGCCCGCACAAGTTGATCACACCTTTTGACGAGCAAAGAGACGATTTGGATGCTTATTTCTATCCCTTCGAGAGTATTGTGGTAGGGCACGGCTGGGAGAAGAGTGAGTGGGCCAGTGTCTTGAGTTTGTGTCTTGTTGGGGAGGAGTTGAGTGTGCACAGTCGTATGCCTGCACAAAAGTCTATGATCTTGTAAAGAAAGCTTTACTGGAGCGTTTAAAGCTAACTGTTGAAGGGTTTCGCTAAAAGTTTTGACAATGTAAGCCCGAGATCTCCGAAACTGGCAAGCAGTTTGTGTGCCGCCTGAACAATTATTTTAATCGCTCGATGAAGCTCTCACACACAGAAAAAACTTACGAAAGTGTCCACGATAATGCCACGTTCCATTTCCCAAGTTTTGTTATCGTCCCAAAACACTACACAATTCTCAGCGCAAACCGCGCCTGCAGTTTTCGAGAAGCTTCCGGACTGTAGTAGATCATTTCGATAAGATCACCCCTACTCTGCGAACTGTACAGGTTATTCTGGATGTGCC